CTTCAAAACATCCACCAAAGTTTTGTGATATCTTTCGATCAAGTAATCTTTCTTATTCATAATTTCATATTGTACACTTGTATGTAAGAAATAATTCAGATCTATTCCTAATGAAGACCAAATAGATAATTGAAAATCCACCTAAAGTAAATATAAAGACATAAATGGATGGTAAATACTATAATTCATGGGATCTTAATTTCAAACTTCTTACAAGTACAGTAAAGATAACTTTTTTGTCAATGGCCAAAAACCAATATCTATATTAAAAAAAATACACTTACAAAAACAACATCCGTAGGTTCATTATTTTGATCATATTTAAATAGCATGTTGTTGGTCCACAAATCACCATGATTTAATACATTTATACAGCCAGGACGCATTTTAGTTGAAGCCATTGCTCTTTGAATAATTGTATCCTGTTGAAAAACACAAAAATTATATATATCAAGTATTATTTTATAATAAAATATTATTTACCTTCATATTATATAATTTTTTTGAATATTTTTGATAGCCATCCCAAATTGATGTAGCTTCTGAAAGCTCCACCAGAGCTTTTAACAACAATTGATTCATCAGATGGTCTTCAGATTCTGTTTGTATAAAACCTAATGTGTAATCATCAACTGAATGAGGATCCTGTTAATTGAATTATTAAGGTTATTTTTTACCTGACTTTAAATTTTATATCAATGAAATTTTCTTGAGAAGAGAACACTCTTTTTCAGAAACTTTAAAAAATTTAAGTTTTTAAAACGTAGAATTTTTTGGTATTGTATTTTATTAAAATTCTTATGGTACGATTTCGATTATACACTTTGATGTTTTTGATTAAATAATAATTTATTTAACACTTTCACCTTTAGCTCCATGACAATGGATGCAGCATGCATATGTGCAATTTTGTCCATAAGTAAAGTAGAATGTGTAATATCTAGGCCTTTTGTCCTTTTTCCCATTTTGTAACCACCTATTGCCAAATCGGTCATAACTATACCAGTAGGCTTCATATCCAATGATTTTATGCATCTAAAAATTAATGAAAAAGTTAGTTATTTTACTACAAAAAAATTCGAAGAAGCTGAAGTATGCGAGCCATTCTTTGTTTACAGAAAAAATCTTTTTTGTTATCATGATTAGAATTTTTTTAAGCTTCAAGAGTTAAATCTTTTTAAAATAAGTTATGGTACTGGCGAAAACAAACTTTTAATGACTTCAATGATGGTCAGATTTATATGGATCAACCTATTCATATGCATGTGAATTTTGGTTTTTTCGTAAACTTTAAATGTGATGAGAAACTCAGAAATTACGAATCTTTTGTCAATGTTTTTTTAAACTTTCCGTACGGTAATTGAAAATGAAATTTTTTGCATATCTTCACGTTCCAGAGGTTTCTGAACATTTTGGCATACCTCAGAAAACATGTATGTGTGTTTGTGTGTTCTGTGTGTCCGCAATTTTTCGTCCACGTTTTCGGGCGCACGAATCTACCGATTTGAAAGGTTCAAAACACATTCAATTTCTAATGATTTGGAGAAGTGGTGTTTAGTTTTCGGCAATGGCAGGTCCAGCCATTTCGAAGATACAAAGCTAAATGTACAAAAAATTGCCGTTGAAAACTAAGCATCCAATTTGATTGATTCAAAAAACTTTCTACTTGTGCGGACAAAACAATTGCTTTTGGAAAAAAATTTCAATTTTTATCTTTCAAAAAATTTTTTTTTTGTATATCGAAAATAATTCAGATTTTAATTTTAATTCTGGCTAAAGTTCTGAAGCTCACTTATATATTTTAAATAAATAATTTTAACTTTATAATTCAGTTTATATAATTCTTATAAATATTAAACAATGTTACAGTATTTACAGGGCCGGATTTAGAAATTTGGCGCCCTGGGGCACTGATAAAAATGCCGCCCCTTCCCTAAATTTTTACTTAAATCAGTTTATATATATCATTTTTCTAGAATTAAAATAACTATTTGATTGCAGAACGTTTATTACGCATTACATAGTGTAAATAGTGGTGCTTGGCATCGTGCCTCAAGATAAATTGCTGAAACCGTACCAAAAATTAATATTTAAAAAAAAAATTAAAGCGATCGGCCTGCCTTAGCAGACAAAATAAAGAAGCGCGTAAGCGCCGCCTCGCAGAATAACAGATAAATAATTTTACAGAACCCATAGAAATGTAACCAAAATTTATATTATTAAAATATCTGATAATTTGATGTGCATATGGCTAATGATCATTTTTGACAGCCAAATGTTTCTCTTTCAAATTTTTTTATTGGATCACCGAAACCGCTAGACCTGCCTCCCACAAATTTAATCAGTTCTCCATTTTGTCTCCATATATGTAAATTTCTTTTAATGATATTGGACGTTTCATTTCTCAAGAAATGAATTATTGGACCCGTCTTGGCCAATAACTAATCAGCACGTCTCGCTATCAATAGAAATCAAATTATTCAAATAAAATTTAATTTTAATAAGTTTAATAAATGAAACTTAATAATTTTCAAAAAATTTCGAAATATAAAAAAAGTTTTTTTAAAGTCAATGTTTATCATTTTCAAAAAATTTTAAAGCTTTTTATAAAATGTAAATTGTCGTAAGGCACAATGCCATGCGTCACTAATTTAATTTTTTTCTGCGTCATGAGCTTGGAAGTGCACAAATTTGTCATATTAAGATGGCTCGAGATCTGAAGAACATATTTTTCTTAAACTTTCAACTCACTTACGAATCTTTATATTAGCCAAATTGCTAAATTTTGCTAATAAATTTGTATAATTTTTTGTTAATTATATTTCTTGAAATTAAAAATGTTATTAAAAAAATGAGTTAATTATATGGTAAAGAATTTTCTTCTCACTATCTAAATTTTGCCGCCCCCAAAAATTTGCCGCCCTGGGCAGTGGCCCCGACTGCCCCTACTGTAAATCCAGCACTGTGTATATAAGTATATATACATGTATAATAGAACACTTGAATAAAATGATATTAAAATTTTATTTCATCTTTAGTATATATAATTTCATACCAAGTATACAAATTTTTCATGTAGCCATTTTTTTTTATTTTCATGTAAATTACAATCTGTCTACGTAGAAAAACATTGAGTAATTAATTTGACAAATAACATAGAATTTCAAAAGGAAAACCTAGACACTGTCACTTTATATTAATGTACTAAATTATGACTTAATTAAAATTAGGTATATGTATCCATATAATCACTATAATTTTTCTAAAAATATTCAAAATCTTTTAAGACTGAATTTTTTGTTTATTTTCTTCAAAAATCCAATTGTAAATAAACAATGACAGGTTATCTGTGATTTTGCCAACACTAGCGCTATCAATTGCCTAATACCCAAAACTATTTATTCATAAGATAACAACCAAAGATAAATGATTTTATCATAGATAACAATCTATGACAAAAATATAAGATTTGAATTTGAATTTGTAGGTAACGACATAAACGAATATGACCGATAACGATTTATATTGTTTTGGAGCCTTTTCGCCCCCATAAAAGCTGGCACAAACACCGTGTTAAGTCTTTTTGTGCTGGGACCTCGAGGTGACACTACGGTGAAAGGTAAGTCATTTATAATAATTAAAATTATTCTAAAACTTTTTTCAAGTAGTTTCTAAAAAAAATCATATATTCAGTTTCTTGAATATATGATTTATGCATGGTGTTAGCTTGTGTTTTGATTTATTTAATTTTATTTAGTGAATTATAAATTTTTAAAAAATGGGAACTGTTTATTATTTATATAAATCGATTTATGTTATTTTTTCTATTTCAAAATAATTTTTGCCAAAGAATTGCTGTGCTGGCTTTGAAATAACTCTTCGGCCAAAATTATAATAAAATATAGAAAATAATGTAAATCCAATAATATAAATAAAAACGGTTTTCAATTTTTTTAAATTTTAATTCAATAAAAATAAATCAAATCAAAGCGCAAGTACATATATATATATTTATATATATAGGTATATATATATATATATATATATATATATATATATATAGGTATGTATATATGTATCTAATGTATATTGTATATATTTTATATTATATAAATATAAATAATTCCAACTGTAGAATTTAGGTATGATTTTATGACATAAAATTCATTTTTATATAATTTATTTGAATATACATTTTGATTTAAATATTGAATTATTAAATGAAAAATAGAAATAAGAACATATGTAGTATATGTATAAATTTTATTAAGTCTTATAACATTAAACCATGAATATTGCATAATAATTGTACAAAATAATAATTTTAATAACAAAGTCAATAATAATGAAAAAAAGGATTAGAATTAGAAAACTATTTCAACATTAAAATTTATATCTGAACTTAAGTTGGAATTATTTACAATTGACTTGTTATAATTATTTAATGTAGTTGTTTAATTGATTTTTAATGTAGTTCGTTTCTTTTCAGATTTTATACAGTGCCAACAGTGTTATGTGCAGTGAATACTAACTTCGGAGGCTTATTGTGCATTAAACTTTTTTTGATATTAATTGTAACTTAGTTTATTTGATATAGTGTTAAAAGTAATTTCTTATTTACCATTTTGCGTTATTTCGAGTACATGGTCCACACTTTTTTTTTTTTAATTTTCGGAAAACGAACGAACGTATTATGATGAAAATTGCGCGTTTGAAGCTACGTTCCTGCCGCCTACCCCCCACGGCAGGTCCAAGTAGTCGGGTTTCACATTAAAATTTAATTTATTAATTGATTAATTTTTGTTTTATATCTCTGCCTGTATGGACCCCTGCGTTGTTTTCCCAGAAGCAACGTAACCCCATGCACTTAATTTAATAATTAATATTATTTGTGCCATTATTTTTATAATTATTATTAAATTTATTTTTTTATTTTTTTGCTAAGTGGCCCATGGAAAGAAGTAACTTTTTTATAGATTTTTAACATTCAGTTATATTTTTTTTTAAAAGTTAATTTGATTACTTTTCGTGCCGTAATGTAATGAACACAATTTCATGAATTAACTTTACTTTTACTGGTCGCACAATGAGTCTCCTGGTGGAGGAATGCTGAATTTATAAGCAGTTGAACTTGGCAATGTTCGTGAGATGGTACGAAACTCTGAGCTATGTACAAATCTTTTTAATATTGATAGAATTAAATAAAATTATTAATTTTAGGTTGAACACAGAAGTTACAAGAGAAAAAGATCCTAAAAACACTATTACTAAAACGAAATAACGTTTACCAGGACGTTAGTGGTTACCAGTGTACAGGAGTAGGATGGGCCAGGAGCACACACGACCAGAAGAACGTTTGTATATTCAGATAAGTAACTAAGAAAGATCACTTTAGTAAGTAGGATGGACCACTTTACGACCAGTAGAACGTTATATTAAGATAAGTATCTTACTTGCTAAGATAGACCATAAGATATTAGTTTTTTTGCGATCATTTTCTATATTATTTTGTTAGATTAAGATATCTATCTTACTTGCTAAGATATACCATGAGATATTCTTTTTTTGCGATCATTTTCTATTCAATTATATTATTTCATCGGGGCCCCATTTACGTTATTCATTCTTTTTATATTTGATTCGTGGACGGATTTATACACATATTATAAATAAGAGATATCCTGGGGCAAAATCGGGTTATATACAGTGCCAGACAGTGTTGTGTACAGTGATATATCGTGATATATACAGTGCAAAACCTTGATATTTACAATTCAAGATCAAGATATAATTCAAGATCAAGATACATACAGTGAAACATCAAGATCAAGATCCATACGAGATGAAGATACATACAAGATTAGAATCAACCAGAAAATTGCCTACAAAATTGGAGGACGTACACATGGATTTATTATTAAGTTAAAATTAGGCTAGAATACATTAGGCTAGTTTACTATTTTTTATTTTAAAAATGGGTGGGGAAGACGGCAAGGACCTTCCAGTTCGCATAGATTTCGCGTTTATTCACAATTATTTAATATTAATTCATATAACAATACTTAATACACAAATTTATGAACTTTATAAGTGCATTCCTCTTTAAGCTTCATAGTGCTGGGAACCTATGAAGTTAAAGTATTTACATGGTGGATCTTAGGGGGGTACATCATGTAAATACTTTTTTTTTCTTTCTTTTTTTTCTATTTTTTTCTCTTAATTACAAAATTACCATAGTCCATTACAATTTTACCTTTAATTTCTAACAAGTTCTTGCCGTCTACGGTTTTTTTTCTATAGAAGATCTTCACATACATTCAATCATTTCGTGGGGTATTTTTCATATTATATTCGTATCATTTAAGTTAGGTTTAGTAAATTAGTTTAGTTAATTAATTTAAGTTAGTTTGTAAGTGGACTAGGGCTGTACTCAATTTGTACGGCGACACCACATTAAAAAAAGCGCGCCTGGCAACTATACCTCCTGGGTGGTGTGGAAAATAGTTGCATCTTAGCTATAAATATAATAATTATCAATTTAATTATTTTATTAATTATATTTATTTAATGTATAAATGTGTAATGAAAAATGTAAAATACGCTGATGTTAAATGTCCAAATATTCAATATAATACAACTTTTAAAATAATCTTTGTTTTTCAATCTGAAAATCTCCAACTTTTTTCGGGTAAGATTATTATTTAATAAATAATTTAATTTTTTTTAAACTATCATACGTTTTGAACAAGTGTATGGTTTGGATAATAATATTATGTTATTATGGATTATAATATTATGTCCAATTGTATTTTTTCCTCATTTTTTTTTATTTTCAATTTTTATTTTACTAATATAGAACTAACCTGATTTTTAGTACTTGTAATATATGATACTATTAGTAATAGGAATATTATAATTGGACAAAATATTTTAATCCATAATATGATAATATTATTGATTTTGCAATTTTTTGTCATAAAATATTGGTTCGATACCATAAAAATATCAGCATCATATCATCAAAAGTATTTGCCATAGTAACCGGTATTATTATTTTTGGCATTTTGTCCCGTATTTCCGAAACATTTGGACCTGTCTTGGCAAATAACTAATCAGCAAGTCTCGCTATCAATAGAAATCGAATTATTCAAATAAAATTTAATTTAATAAATTTAATGAATAAAACTCAATAATTTTCAAAAAAAAAAACGAAATATAAAAAAAGTTTTTTCAAATTCAATTTTTATCATTTTTCAAAAAATTTTGAAGCTTTTTATAAAATGTAATTTTCAGTACGGAAAGTTTCAGTAACTTGCCGTAAGACACATAATTAATTTTTTTCGGCGCTATGAGCTTGTAAGTGCACAAATTCGTCATCTTAAGAGGGCTCGAGATCTGAACAACATATTTTACTTAACCTTTCAACTCACTTACAAATCTTTAGATTAGCCAAATTGCCAAATTTTGCATTGCATTTGTATAATGTTTTGTTAATTATATTTCTTGAAATTAAAAATGCTATTAAAAAAAGGAGTTAATTATATGGAAACGAATTTTCTTCTCACTATTGGATATCCAAATTTTGCCGCCCCCGAAAATTTGCCGCCCTGGGCAGAAGCCCCGACTGCCCCTACTGTAAATCCAGCACTGAGTATTTATATTAATCAATTTGAAAACATTTAAGATTCCTCGAACATTTTGTTGCGATGAGGTAAGTTTCAGCAATTTGCCTTAAGGCACGATACCATACATCACTAGTTAACTTCCCGTAGGGTAAGTTATTGTAATGGGCCAAAAATCGAAATTGAAATTTTTTACATTTCTCGATGTTTTGAAGGTTTCTGAACATTTTGGCATATCTCAGAAAAAACGGATGTGTGTCTGTGTATGTATGTATGGATACAATTTTTCGGTCACGAGTGCACGGTTCAACCGATTTAAATGGTTTAAAAAACATTCGATTCCTATTGATAGGGGGATGAGCTGATTAGTTTTTGGCAAATGCAGGTCCAGCAGTTACGGAGATAAAGAGCAAAGAGTGCAACAAATAGAAATCGAGTTTTTGAGAGAACGGAGCGTCCGATTTGAATGATCTAAAAAACATTCAGTTAGTAATGATTGGGAGAAGTGTTTATCAGTTTTGGCAAAGGCAGGCCCAGCTATTTCAAAGATACAGAGCTAAAAGTGCAAAAAATGACAATTTTTGAGAAAACTGAGGGTCCGATTTGAATGATTCAAAGAACTTTCTGCTTTTCTTAACAAAACAATTGCTTTTGGAAAAAAAAATATTTCAATTTTTATCTTTCAAAAAAATTTTTTTTTGTATATGGAAAATAATTCAGATTTTAATTTTAATTCTGTATAAAGTTCATACTCTCACTTATATATTTTAAATAAATAGTTTTAACTTTGTAATTCAGTTTATATAATTCTTATAAATATTAAACAATGTTACTGTATTTATATTAATCAATTTGAAAACATTTAAGATTCCTCAAACATTTTGTTGCGATGCGGGAAGTTTCAGCAATTTGCCTCAAGGCACGATGCCATACACCACTAGTTTAATCTTAAAATTGGAGTATATTCGAAATTCGTGTGATATTGGCATAAAGTTCGAAGACACGTTTGAATTAGAATCTTCATAATAAGATCATATAATATATTTATCATTTTACTTACTTTGAGGATAATTCGGTATTAATACCAACGCCATATAAAATTTTGCTCAATTTTGGTAACACCTTGGTGTACATAGAAATTTCCTTTGGAAAGACTCCCATTTCTCTAACAAATTCTTCTGATTGATTTCCTTCAGGCATTATTTTTATAACCAAAGTTACTTTTTTAGTTTTTCTTTCAGTTCTACAAGAAAAACAAATGAATTTCATCAATTAATATGTATAAAATTTTCAAAAACACTACATCAAAATGAAATAAAAATATTTTATAAAGGTTTTCATTCATGAAATATAAATATTTTATAAGGATCTTCATTATCTTCATTATGTTTTCATCAGTTGATTTTGAATACTAGAGAATCACATTATTACATGAACACAAAAAATGTAATTAGCACTAACATATATCACTATTCACAGTTACTTGTCAGTAATTAAAGATTATTTTTTAGAAATCAAAGTCATGTATTTTATTGTTCAAGTAGTATGAATGTTAGTTTTTAAGACAAGAAGTAATTTTGATACATTGGAGACAAGGTCTGTATTTCAATGATTATATATTTTTAATTGTGTTTATGTTTCTTTTTTTATTTTACATAAATTTCAGAGGTAAGTTTCTTATTATAGTCAATTTTTGAAAAAACGCGAACAATGAAAAATATCTAAAAGATTAAAGACGGCATTAGAAAATAACATCAAAACAATAAAAGATATAAAAAATTAGATAAAGAAATATTTGGAAATTTTATATCTACTACTCATACTATTCCTTAACAAACCAAACAAGCACATAAAAAATATTCGTAACAAAATATCCAATAATATGATTTTTTTGTATATCTTTACGTTTCAAAGGTTACTGAATATTTTGGCATACCTTAGAAAAAATGGATGTATGTGTGTGTGTGTGCGTGTATGTGCGGATACAAAGTTTCGTCGACGATTTCGGAAACACCGATCAACCGATTTGAATAATTCAAAAAACATTCGATCCATATTGATGAGGAAACGTGCTGATTAGTTTTTGTCAAAGGCAGGTCTAGCCGTTCCAAAGATACGGGGCAAAAAGAGCCAAAAACTGTAACTCAGTTTTTAAGAGAACGTAGCTTCCGATTTTAAAAATTCAAAAAACATTTTACTTGATTTGATAAGATGAAGAACTGATAAAATTTTTGGAAAGGCAGGTCCAGCAGTTAAGGGCTCTCAATAAAAATAAGTTAAAAAAATATAATTTGAAGGGTCAAAAATGTTTATTGGACGTATGCATATCAAATTATTAGATATTTTATAGAGATTTTAATAATGTGTACACATTTTGTGTAATTTTTTCTGGATTTCGTACCAAAATTTTTGATTACGGTACGGAAAGTTCCAGCAATTTGTCTTAAAGCACGATGCCAGGCACTTTACTGGTTATATAATAATTTAGCAATGATTTTTTCCAAAATTTTTCTGTAGTTTTTTTCAAAGAATACTTACTCATATTCGATTTCAGCTCTATATAATTCACTTAAATAATTATCACCTTTAGCAGTAGCTAACCAAATTCGAAAACCTATCACAGATGCATCACTATTTAATTTTTTGACAATCTTTGTAAAAAATTCATTTGACGCCCAATACGGAGATGATTCATTACTATTATTCATTTTTATAACAAAATTGAAAAGTGCAATAAATTATAACAGATTTGAGATTCTCAACAACTGTGTTTTACAGGTACTAATGTTTTTGCTATTTTATATCAAACTTTTATGAATGTGTTATATTGTTAACTATTGAAAATTATTGCAAAATGTAATCACTGCTAAGTTTCTTATTGTTACAAGTACATTCTTATAAATATCGAGAGAAACAATAATTAAGATCGACATATATTTAGCTTATATATGAGGGTTTACACAGGTCCTTTATTCGTGATGTCCATAAATTCATATTCATGTAAAAACTGATGTTTAGAAAAATTCATAATATCCAAAAAAACTATTTTTTCCAACTAATTATTGCATTTATCTAACCTTAGTGTTATACTTTTTTAACACTAGTGGTTGCATTTGAGATAATCATTTAGTTTTAAATATTATGTTTAAGTACACACATGCCAACTTTGAGATTTTTTGCCCTCATTGAAAAATATGATTTAACTAAAAATGAAGTATTTTACTCAAATAATACAATTACCAAAAATAAAGTTTTCTACTTATAAAATATTATATTGTACAATATGTGATTCTGAGCATAAAATAATAATAATCATTTCTAGAAAATATGTGTTTTATTCAGTGATTAAAATGTTACTTTGTAACTACCTACCTTTATTATGAAGAATATTTTATCTTAGGCTTTATAGTCCGGAGACAAGTGGTTAGAGCTATGGGATTTTAATCAGACATTTCAGTCTCAATACGTGCCTCGGGCAGCCTGATGTCAAACAGTAGTGAGGTCATCAAAATGTCTGCTACTCGCAATTGCTGTATCATGCTGTATTAACAAAAATGGATAAATATTACATAAATTCATATATCAGAGATGGGACTATTTGGTTTGCGATTTACAAAAAAACAACATAGTTAAGTCAAATCATCGCAAAAGCTCATCAAGCTCAACGCTTAAGTTTAAGAAAATCTCATATATTGTTTAACAAAAATTTATTAACGATGTTTAAATTCAGAATAAACCATTTATAATAATGATTGATTACATGAACCTCTAAAATTATTATGTTCCTCTCCAGAACATCAGGAAGAAATATCCGAAGTTAAATAATAGTGGGCTGTACTACCTTAGAGCAGCTTAAACACCAACTCGATTCAGGAAAAAATAGTGTGAAAGATTCCTCATTGCCATTTCACACCGTAGTACCCGTAATGAGCACTTTTCAATTGGGAACATAATTTTGATCTATATTTTCAGGTGAAAATGGGCGTGCACGATGTCACGTTGTCCAGAACGGGGTTTGAACTCACGAACACCTAAGATTCTAAATGTTAAATTCAAGGCATCATAAAAGCAATAATGTATTTTTTATTAAATTTTATCATCCATAATCTATCAAACTATTTAATCCTTAATCTATCAATTCATTAATAAAATTTAATTTAATAAAACAGCACATAAAATTGTTTACAAATAAAGGCCCCTTAAATTATAATAGTAATATAAACATCATGCCAGTCATCTAATTTGACAAGATCTTTTGTGTGACGTAATAAATAATTAGAATTTTAGTTTGTTCTTCAGATTCTAATATCATGAGAACGTTTACCGCACGCATCTATAAGTAACACTTAAGACTTTTTTACATTATTTCCGTCAATATGGGACAATAGGCAAGTAATTATTGGCTAAATAATTATATCTTCAAGTACTTGCATACATGTACTTGCTTCAAATACTATCTTTAAAATAGTATTTGCCTTGGTGACTTGGCATTATATTGCAAGTGATAAAATCATTTTTATCAAATTTTGCAGTATCATGAAGATCATGCAAATGCAGCTCATAAATATATACATACGCCCACAGTCACACTATAAATTATAATATATATATATATATATATATATATGTATATATATATATATATTATATATATATATAATATATAATATATAATATATTTAGTATCAAAATAAAGTATTAATATTTAACTTCCCGAAGGAGAAGTTTGTTCACATAAAAAATCCGATTTGCTAATTTTATGTTTTCTCGACGTTTCAAACCATTCTGAATCGAATGAGATCAAATTTGGAAAAAGTATGTGTGCGTGTGTGTATGTGTGTGTGTAAACAGATTTTTTGCCGTAAATCGACGTTTTCTCAAAAACGACTAGACCGATTACAAAAATTTAAAAGCCATTCAATATATGTCGATGAGGACTAGCGTTTCTCAGTTTTGCGCGACGACCGGCCGAGCCGTTTCTTGTAAATCGCAGAAAAATGAAAATTATTCGTCCACGTTTTAGCCCGCAATTCTGAATCGATCTTGAAAATCCAAAAACCGTTCAAAATTAGGCTTTGGTAAAGATCGGTCGGGCCGTTTTCTTGTAATGAAAAGTTGAAAAAAAAATTTCGACGATTTTTATAAATTTTTTTGACGGTAGATACCATAGTTTTATAGATCATACTAAAATATTATGACCCTACGACATATCGTTTAATTTCAATAATTCGTCGAAATTTGCAAAAATTAGTATCGTTTTTTTGGCATTTGTCAAAATTAGACCTTTCATCGATGTTTGCTCAGAAACGCCTGAACCGATTTCAGAAATTTGAAAGCCATTTGATGTATCTCATGAGGACTATCTTTTGTCAGTTTTGTGCGATGATCTACCGAGCAGTTTTTTCTGTAATTTGGAAAAAAGTGTTAAACTTTCCGTCCGCATTTAAGCTTATACCACCGAATCGATTTTAAAAAATCAAAAACTGTTCGAAAGATATTAGTTGAGAATGATACTGATTAGTTTTAGGCGAAAATCTACCGAGCCGTCTTCTTGTAATTAACTGTTGAGAAAAAAATATAAGTCTATTCTAATGGAACTGTTTTTGGCGATATATAATAATATATCATGGTCTTATAGAACTTACTGAAATATTAGGGCCTTACGACAAGTATTTTAATTTTCAAAATTCATGAAAAGTTGAGAAAATGAGTGGTTCTTTCACGTTTGTTAAAATTAAAATAAAACGATTTACTTGGTATAACGATAGAGTACTTGGCCTTAATGAACATACTAAATCATTAAAGTCTTACAGAAACTGGTTCAATTATGAGAATTGTTGATTTTTGAAAATTTGCTTTTAGAAAATACTCCGAGTTAACTTGTTCGTTCGTTTTCAACTATGTGTAATAAATCCACTCAGAATACTTTTAATCACTTTTAAATTTATTTATTTTTTATTGATTAAGTCGATTATTTACACATATCGGAAAGTTTATGTAACTTGCCTCAAGGCAAAATACCAATATCAACTAGTTATTTATACTTTTTATGATAATTTTATACACATATGCAATATTTTTAGAAGTTTTTAGAAGAAGACATTTGTTAGTAGAAAAAATTGAGTTTTGTTCTAATTTTTTTTTTTGTATTCTAGCAAAATGTTTATTGAATAATAATTAAAAGAGAATAAATAAAATTATAAAAACTCAGTTGCCGCTACCGGTAGCTGACACTGTCTAGAAGGAAATCTGAAGAGGCGCCCAACGTATTAATAGAAGCTACTGAATAAGTTTCCCAAAAACAATTTTAAGAAGAAGATTATAATCAAAAAGACAAATATTTGAATATAACAAATATTTGATAAAACATATTTAATATATTTGATGCTTTTACATTACATTCATATCTTATCTTCAATTAATATAATTGACATCGTTGACAAGATTTATAATGGCATGTTTTTATACTAAAATACAATTTGGCTTATATAATACTATTAATAACAATTTGATTATAACAAGGCATTACTGTGGATATATTTTTCAAAATCTTACATATTATTTTCTAATGTCAATCAATGAACTTAAAATTTGCGTCATTATAATCAAATTATTACTTGACTTTACATATATTATTTATATTATTTTATTATAAAACTTACAATGCTCCTTATATTAATATTAGATGAACACTCGAAGACTTTTTAGTTGCAATTCATGTTTTAAAAAGGGTCTCGTATTTGGTAATATAGTTAACGTATTATATCAAAAATAGATCATTGTCGACCCATTGCCAAGTTTTTTCTTTGGTTTCGTCTCTGATGTATCTTACACATTTTTTAATATTTCTGAAAAAGAATATAAAAATATTAAAAATATTCTTCATTGGTAGTGATTTCAAGTTGTGCATGTATAATTGTGGAAAACCACACATGATTTTGATTTTATATATTTATATTCTTACATATTATATTTCATTTACTAAAAGCAATTAAATTTTAATGTTTAAAAGAAGATATTTCATTTTATAATTGAACATATTAAAGGAAAAAAAAACTAACAGTTTAATGATACTGAATAAAAATTAAAACCAATTAAGCATACATTTAATTTTTATGAATTATTAATAAATAAATTTTAATTTTAATTTCCTATCTTCTGATCATTTGTTACCATATAAAATTTTCAACTATAACTAAAATTGTTTGTTTTCAATATAAGTTATAGTGAATTGTTTATATTTGTGCTTGTGTTTCATTCTAGTACATATTTGATGAATCTTTAAATTAGTTGCATGAATCATGATTTTTTATTATTAAATATTTATTATAACACACCTTCTCTCACAATCGACAATTGGATGATCATAGGTGAAACATTGTGGGCCTAAAACTGTGAAATAAGTGAAAGCAACTTTTCTAGAAATAATACTGTTGGCATCTTGTAAGCATTTGTAGAACTTTTGATCGCAATCACAATGAGATCTAAAAAATACAAAATAGGTATTAAATATAGCAGTTAACAATAACTAAGTTAAGTTGTGACTAAAATAACCATTTTTTATCCAACCTAGTAAATAATCCACCATTGATGAGACCATGTTTTTCTTCTCCTGCGAGGATATTATCTTGGCAGAAATCGTGTTCTCTGCAACAAGCATCGGTGTCTTTGAATCTGCCCAAATCTTCATTAGAACGTGCTTTATCGC